TTACACAAAAGCTCCTAGGCATACTTGGTTTGTGTAAGCAGTAAACCAGAAGATTTCTTTTAACCTCAAAACCAGAAAATATTGAACTTCTCCCAAAGTTTTTAGAGCAAACTTGCTGTTAAGATCTATAAGCTGGAATAAGATGACTATCATTTCCTGTCACCAAGATATCATCACATATTCTAGAAGATACATCACTTGGATTCTCTCTTGTAAAAGAACAAACTAATACTGCGGTAGTGTTAACAATCCCTATTCTAATATGCATTTTTCAGTTTATGAACCAAGCTCTTGGAGCTTGCTTAAGACCTAGAGGCCTTATGTAATTTGCACACCAGCCTTGAATTAAAGAACAAGAGGCAGGAGAGAAACCTTCACGGCAACTAAAACTTTCTCTAATAGCTCCCCATTCAGATGCGTTATTTACATCAATTGTTGAATTTGCCAACCTTGATGGACAGCCAAAGAAATCATAATTCGAATTGTTGCAGCCTTCACAACTGGAGAAAAATGTCAAAGTAGTCCAGTCTAGGTGTCTGTTGAAAGCCTTTGGCTACCAGCCTGACTTTGTATTTTTGCAGAGTCCCATCTGAGTTTAACTTGGTCCTGAAAACCCATTTACTTCCAACTATATGCATACCTTCTTCATAAGGTACTAATTCCCAAGTCTGATTCTTCAAAAGAGCTGGTATTCACTCTCCATAGCCTGCTTCCATTCAGGCATAAGTGAAGCTTCAGTTACAGTTTTTGGTTCACTAGAATGGTATTCGTGGTCAATAAAGCCTGATAAGTAAAATCAGATCAGCTTTAGCTTTTGCAGAGTAACCGCCTTAGCTCTAGTATCATAGGGTGAGTATTTGTGGATGTTGGGCTGTACAAGGTATAAAGCTTCCTGGTGACTATCAGGATCAGTAGAGGTGATAGGATGGTCACATTCTTGATTAGTGAACTCTCAGGAAAGCTGGATAGAGTGTGAGTAGAGGAGCTAGATGTAGATCTATTTGAGGCCTGAATAGTGGTGGGACTACATGGTTGGACTAGGTTGTGTGCTACTCTTGCTGATGGTAAGTCAGGAGTATCATTCGATGTGAGCTCAAATGAGGCTGTGCTAAGATCAATTCTTGAAGATAATATTGTTGTTCTAGGATCAATTCTTGAAGATAATACAGAGGTAGGAATGCACCAGGATTATCAAGAGAAGACTGAACAGAATTGTCACTATTTATTTAGAATTTTCAGATTCATTCTTCTCATTCTTGAATGGAAAATCTGTTCATTAAATTTCACCTGCTGAGCAATATATAATCGACCACAAGATTAGGCACAAATAACCTTATGGGAAGACTGTATCCAGAAAAACACACTTTCTGTATGATATGACAGTTTGTGTCTTTGATTGGCCTAGATATGGATAGCAACTACATCCAAAAACTTTAAATTAGTATACTTAGGCTCTTTGAAAACAAAGTGTATATGGTGACTCAACTCAAGAGGTGCTGAAGGTACCTATTCAGAAAGGTTGTTGTGCAAAAGCTGACCACCAATTTTAAAGGCATAGTGGCATGAGCCAAGAGTGACAACCCTATTCTGTGATGGACCTATGTTTTCGCTCTACTCTTCCATTTTGTTGGTGAAGGTAAGGACAGGATGTCTAAACATGATTCCATTTTCCTGAAGATAACTTGAAAAGGACCTAAACTTTCCACAAACTTATGAAATTGCACAAAAACAGTATATGCTTCAGACTTGAGTTTCAAAGGACATATCCATGTGTATCTACTAAAATCATCAACAAAAATCACATAGTATCTATACCCTTCTCTAGACATAACGGGGTTGGTCCCCACAGATCAGAATACACCAATTCTAATAGACAACTACTCTTGAGATGAGATAGGAAAACTACATTGCTTCAATTTTCCAAATTGCAAGCCTCACAAAAGGAACTTTTATTCTAGCAGTAGATTGTTTTACATGCAACTTATTCAAAACATACTGAAGAGTTTTAACATTTGGATGTCCTAATCGGGCATGCCACAACAATGCAGAATCTAAAGGTACATTATTAGTCTTAACATCAAATTCCCATGAACAACATTAGTAATACTATCTAAGTAAACATTAGCTTCATGAACCACATTCCCAGTTACATGATGTGAAGCAGAAGGAATGGATTATGCATAAGAGAGACATTGCTTGATAATTCCAGTTGATACAGGCCACCTTTCACTGAGCCTTGCAACAAGACACTTGTTGCTCTTATCCTTTACCAGGCAATGATCAGAATGAAATTCAACTATGAATTATTATCCTTGGTATTTGAGAAATACTAACTAGATTCTTTGCAATTTCGGAACACAATATATTCTTAGTTGAAGTACTATGTGAGGCATGTGAAGGAACAAGTAACTACCTGTGTGAGTGATAGGAATAGCATCCCCATTGCCTACTTGAACTTTAGAGTTCCCTGATAACTAGACTTGTGCATCAGATTGGAGCATCTGCTGTCATGTGGTTAGATGCTCCAGAATCCATATACCAAGACTGATCATGTACAGTTTGTGGAGTAGCTACAGCTTGGTAGAAGTGCCTGCGGATGACAGTATTCCAGTTTCAGCCTTGGTAGGATTAGCTCCAACTACTCCTACAGTGGTAGGTTGAGGTTGTGGACTCATTCTCTGTCTATAATCAGGAGTTTGAAAGTTTGCAATAGGATATTGAGGCATCTGTGATCCTACGGTAGCTGTAATCATGTAAGCCCAGAACGAGTTATGGAAGCCATTATTGGGATGCAAGCCAGTGTTAGGAAACAACTGACCAGCAAACAATGCTTGAACAGAGCCTCAGGAACACCAGCAAGGTTAGTCTGAGAGGATACAGAAGGATTATAAGTAGAGGCCTGAACTGAGTGATTGTGGTTGAAACCCTGAAAATCTTGATCAAATATATGGTAGCATTGCAGGGCAGAGTGACCCATTGCCACAACCTGATAGATCAATTTGGCTTGAAGTAGCCTCGGCCTCTCCCTTTTCCTCTCATCATATTGTTATTAAATTGATTAAAACCAGTAGGCATAAACTGAGAACCATTTGGATAAGACACCTGTTAGTACACTTCCTGAATATCCAGCATTACCAAGATCAAAACCCCAAAGACAGCTTGTGAAGGTACATTGGCTGAGACATTTTGTCCTTGTTGAAAGATCATTTCAGGGGACTGACTATTAGTATCCTGGTTTCAACATATGTGAGGCATGTTGAAAACCAGCTCCTGAATTTTGTGAAGTTACAGAGTCAATAGGTCCTTGTTTGTGAGCATTGCATAACTTAACTGTCATGAAAGCTTAACAGAGCATTGTTCTGTCTTTCAAGCTCATTTCATGCTTATGTAACACGAATTGAGCTTCTTGAAGAGTTGCAGTACTACTATAAATGTCAATTTGCAACCACAACATCGTATTCAGGACCTAGACCATCTAATATGTACACAGCAACTCTTCATCACAATTTGACTCCACTTGCTGTTAGCTCATCACCTAATTCTTTCATCTTCAAAATATAGTCATTAATACTCAAAGACTCTTTCTTAGTAGTATGTATAGATTTCTTAAGTGCAATGTTCTTGCTTTTGAGAAAGACTGAAATGAAGTTCTAAGGTATTCCAGATCTCATAGGCACTAGTACACTTCAACATTTCTAAACATGGACTCTAATATAGCCGAGAATAGCCAACTTACTAGATTGGTTTGTCTTTTTCCAAATGAAATACCTAGGTTTGGTTTCTTAGTCAACTCATTTGATTCTCCTAATTTATCAAAATGAAACATAGGAGGACATAGATTCTCACCAATAACAAATCCATCAAGATCGTGAGATATCAATGCTGGAAGAATTTGCGATCGCCAGTAGCTAATTCTTCTCCGATAGCTTCACTAAGCTCCGGAAGTGTTGAGTGAAGAGCTGAACTCAGCACGTTTGTGCTCCGATCTTGTTCAATCTCTGGTCTTGAGTTGAATTTGACAGTTCAGGACTCGATTAGCCATGGACGTTGGTCTACAGCTCTGATCCAGGAAGATTTTTCTTGAATTAAAGAAACAAACTAAGGAACAGTAGAGAGAAAAGTATCAGACATAAACACGAAAAAAACTGGGAATTTTTATTAAGTGAGAATTTGTTACAGGAGAGAAACACTTTTGTAGTTAGAGTGCTCAAAACGCACCGTATAGGAGTTTCTAATATTACAACTAACTCAGTTCAGTTCTCAAAACTTACAAATACACTCTTTTCCTAACACCTTTCAACAACGATTTCTTTTCAGAAGGACGAGTTATTGAAGCTTGAGTATCATTACTTTTTTTTCTTTTTTTTCTGTTAAGAGATTATCTCTTGGTTTTTTTTTTTTTTTTTTTTTTTTCCATTACTTTCCTGTCAATTATGGAAGAAAGTATCTCTATACTTAATTTGTTTCCACAAAAACAATAATTCTATCGATTGAAACAGAGAATAGAAGGCCCCTAATGGCTAATTAATTAAACCAAAAACTCAATGCCATTTGGCCTGCAAAACCCAAGAATTGCCAGCCAGCGGAAGTTTTATAATCGTTATGAACCTTTCCAGCACAAATTTACTTTGACCTCAACCATAAACAAATGGACAATATGTTTGTGGAGCAAAAGGAAGGGTAGGCAAAGGACCAAGACTTGAAGAATCTTCCATTCTTATAAGACAAAACACCGATTTTAATAAACTTTCTGATAATTATGAAAATTGAACTTAAGATTGCAGGTTGCAATTATTTATCCATTGGGACAAATGGAGACAGCATAGAAGGACAAAACAGAAGAGATACCCTCCTCCCTCGTGACCCACATTAGACCTAGAAGGAAAACGCTTCTGAAATACTGTATCTTATGGACTTGGACATAGAGAGATCATTTGATTCGATTAATATAAAAGGTTCCAGCAGTTGTAGATAGAATATTAACTGGAGAAGAACATAAATTTAACAGAAGAGACAGCAAGTTTGGTCATTTAGCCATGAGCCAACCAGGTGTACTCGTTATCATAGTTCTTTGCTTGTTCTTTCATGTCAAAGCCCAAAACAATTCAAACTCTGACCCCAACAATATCCTCCATCCTCTCCAGCCAAATCTTGTGGCGGTCATTGGTGTCTTCTCTGTAGTGTTTTCTTTATTACTTTTGATAGTTGCCTACGCAAAATTTTGTCCATTAAACCCATTTCATTTCATTAGCCATATTAGTAATAATAATAATAATGCCCATCAGCAAACTCAAACTTTCGAAGAACTTATTCGATCATCGTCTAGATCTTCCGGAATTGATAGAGCAGTGATCGAGTCACTCCCTTTTTTCAGATTTTCTTCGCTAAAGGGATCGAAAGAAGGCCTTGAGTGTGCAGTTTGCATATCAAGATTTGAAGATAGTGAAATTCTAAGATTATTGCCCAAGTGCAGGCATGCATTTCATGTCAAATGCATTGACCAGTGGCTAGAAAGCCACTCTAGCTGTCCTCTCTGCAGGTACAAGTTTGATATGAGAGACCTCAGGAGCTTCTCTTACTCAAACAGTTTTAGATTCTCGGGAAACCCTTCAAATCTAACAGATGATCCGAATCTTGAGTTTATTGTCCAGAGAGAGCAAGACCGTCAAGCCTCTTCTAGGTTCAACATCGGAAACAGCTTTAGAAATACCGACAAAGGTAAGAAAGAAGAAGAGTTGCTTATTCAAGAGGTCAATAGGAATCACCAAAAACTCTTGCATAAGTTCAACCACAAAATCATTGTCTCCGATGTTGTTATTAAGAACCGATGGAGTGATGTTAATGCTTCAGACTTATTGTTCTTGAACTCCGAGATGCTTCGTGCTGTATCAAGCAATAGGATCTCTCGTTCCAATTCAACAAGTGGAAGATTTCATTGTGATTTATCCATGAATGAAAATAGGGTAAAGATTAGGGAGGATATAGAGATTAAGAGATTATATGAGTCCAGGTTCGGTGGAATTGAAACAAACAATTCAGTTTCATCTTCAAGCTTTCTTTCTACTTCATATAATGAGGCAAATTCATCAGAAGTGTTGAATGCTAGAGAGAAGAGATCAATGTCTGAGATCATCAACTTTGCAAGGTTCAGAGATTTCAGTTTAAGACACAAATTTAGAGAAGCTTCACCTGGAAGTAGTGGGAGAAAAGAGGAGAGAATAAGAAGACTTTGGTTGCCAATAGTGCAGCGAACAGTTCAATGGTTTGCAGGTGGAGAAAGAAACTTACAGGAATTGGACAAAAAAAGGCATGATTTAAACGTGTGAATTTTACACTCATAATCACTCCACAAGGTCAGGTAATTGTATAATTTGGATATGTAGCTTGTAAATCTTCTTGCTTAAAGAAAATTCCAGAGTTGTTAAATCTTATCCTATCATTAATATCAGAGGAAAGATGAATTTAAACTCTATATGGATTTTCTGGTTCATGCCTGCCTGGTCAATGTAAACTTCATTAAAAAGAGGTCCCTCAAAATAAAAGGCAAAATTTGTTGCTTTCACCAGCATTAGTATAATTGTATTTGGCAGTTTTGTTTCGATTTTTCTATTGTATAAGCTATTACACAATTTTTAAAAAGATTAAACTACAATTTCCCTGTCTTCACCCTCTCGTCTCATCCCAGAAAGAATCCAGAAATCAATTTTATACTATATGATTTTGTTCTAGAGCTTGAATTTTTTGACCGAGTTTATTTTGAGTTTCCAGCACATTGAGAAGTGACCGTTTATCATCCTAAGTCTTCTCTCATTTTGTTATGCTTAAAAAGTCACGCTAATATCAGTTCAATAAGTGTCTAAAAGATAAATTGTACTTCCTGTCAAGCCCATACTGCCTCAAAGATATCTTATACCAACCCTATCTCATTTTAAGAGAAGAACAGATGAGAGTTGTCCATGTGTCAAGGTAACTTGCAAAACACTAAATACATTGACCTCAGAGGTGTATAAATTGATATTTCTCTTCATAAAAAGGGAAGGTTGGACTGATGAGAGCTAGACATAGATTTGAGCTTCATTATTTCTTCTGTAAACAAAGCTTTTCTCCATCCTTGTATGCCTTACGGGCAATATCATAGAAATAGCCAAAGAATAATACAATAACAGTGAATATAAGATTCGCTTTAAATATCCGAACCACTTTAAAAACCTCTCTTGCCAATCTTCTATTTATGTTTCTGCAACATATATATTCTCAGCACCATATTCAAATCTCATGGATCTATCACGTATAATTTCTAAGACTCTCTTAGCACTTTACGCATGCGAGTCGTTGGTGTCCAAAATCAAACATCAACACATTTATTCAATAGATCTTCTGCATGTATTTAGATATGAAGTCTGCTTTCGTTTGTTTATCCCGAGAATAAACAAAATGATATGCACTATCACAGTCTCACTCTAAACAAACAGAGTTACTCTGTTTCTCAAATAAATCATTGCCTTTCCCTCTGCTAATGTAAACAACTGTCTGAAAAAGGTTTTTATATTAGCAAATATTTAAAAGCAGAATCAAAATCAATAGAAGAGACAGTGTTAGGTCACAGATTCATTGTTAATTACCAAAAACTGGCATGGATATTTGTCTCAGAAGAAACGGCCCTGATTACTAAATTCTGATTACCCTCTCATCAACTGAATGAGAGAGTAGCTAGTAATGACTAAATAATGCCACTGCCTCAACTGGATTATAGAATTATAAATGCGCCTTATTATTAGCTACAAATCTACCTTTACAAATAGGACGCTTATTCTGCACATCGTAAACCTACTAGAATATGCGGATCAAGTACAAATTAAATCATACTGCAGAACTGGAAACGCTAACACATATGCAGGGCTGCACTATCAAAGGACTCACAATAGTACACGGAAGTGCCCAAACTTTCATCTAGTAATAACTGATATCTGTGATCCCAATTTTCCTGATGCTACAGAACATATATATCTAATACAGATGATAACCTCCTTGATCAGAGCTATCAAGGTCGGAGTTACTGGTAGATTCGCGACTGCCTTTCTTCATCGTCCGCATCTCTTCAACCCGACTAACACTACTATTGGGGCTTCCATTTTTGTCTTTCCTTTTCCTCCATTCCCATTTTCTAAGCCAATGTCTCGCCAACAATACCCCCAGTCCCATAAAAATGACCAATGTGCACCCTCCACCTACAGCAATCAATGTCACCAACACCCCTGCCATCCCTTTCTCATGTGGCAAAATCGTCCATATGGAAGCCATATAAGCTGCAGCCATAAATGAAACCGACACCCACATCAATTTATGTGTAACCATCAATAATTTCATCATGGATTTTCTCCGGAAAGGAATGATGCTTACTAGGAAAATGACTATGCCTAGGGACAGGAATAATGCCACAATGTTGCAAACCATGAAGACCTTAAAAGAAGTTTGTCTTCCCCTTATGCACTTCCCAGTAGTTTGGTTAAATCCCCCTGGAGGGTTTATGCCAGCCGCAAATGTAACAGTTGCTATTAAAACCGCCACAACCGTGATTGTATTGCGCGCATTGCGTAGACCCTCGTTTTGTAGCTCAATCTGCTTTTCTCGGCGACGACGATGACGATGGCGCTGATGTCGGGTTGGAGATTCAGGAGCTTTTTTCGGCCTCAAAGGTGGTGTGTATGGATAGTTATCTTGTATGGGTTGAATTTCTTGTGACATCGGTGGCAACTGGTCACACCTCTTAGCGCCTGCTTCTTGTAATGCAGGTAAAATCGTAAGGACACCAGAATTAGTTGCATCGCATTCAACAACATCAAGAGCGGTGTATCCCTTGCGGTTTATTGCGTTTACATTAACGCCAAGCTTCAGTATGTAGATGACCATCTAACCTCGAAACAAAGACATAGAAGAGGCCACAAAACATAACATATTTCAGCTATAAAATTTGGCAGCAGAATCTCCAGTGAAATAACATTAAAACGCTTGTAGAATGATGTCAGAGTATTTAATTCCTAAAAGAATATGAATTGAAGAAATATGCAAGGAACTTACAGTAGAAAGCTTTCCAGCAGTTGCTAAATGCAAGATAGTGTTGCCATCGTTATCTGGCATGTTAACAAGTTTCGTGATGTTTAGAGTCTCCATCAGGAACTTAACCGCTTCATACTGATTATTCTTTACTCCAAGGTGTAGAACCGTCTCTCCAGAAATGGTTCTCATCTCAGCTGACTCAAGACTGGTTGAGAGTATTTCATCAATAATATTTATACGGCCTTTGATAGCAGCCAAGTGGAGTGGTGTTCGACCTTCATTGTCTTGTAAAGAAGAGAGGTCAGGGTCTACCTTTAGAAGCTCCCTGGTTATGTCTAGGTGGCCTTTGCCGCAAGAAATGTGCAAAGGTGTGCCCCCATTCAAGTTCTTTTGCCACGCCAATTGTGGCCGCGCCGTTAGAAGCTCTTTCACAATGTCTGCGACATGTAGAAAAATTCTAAAAATCCGGCTAATTCTATCATTTAGAGCAGGCAACAAAAAATTGACCGTCCTATAATAACCGCAATTAAAGGAATACAATAATTAAAATTGATTCTAACATCTATTAATTAAGTTAATTAATGATAGTACTTGGTCAACGTTTAGCGTCCAGTCACGTATTAATGATCAGATGAACCACTGCGAATTAGTTACCTGTATGCCCTGCCCAAGCTGCAGCATGAAGACAAGTAGTGGAGCTATCCATCTCGAACATCAACAACCATGGATACCCCAAAAGCTGCTTCACCACATCAAGCTTTCCTCTCTCGCATGCCATAAACAGCACGCTCTCATTGTTTTTGTTTACCTTATAAACAACCATAGGATCACTCTCCACCAACAACCTCACAATGTTTAGTCTCCCTTCTCTGCATGCTTCATGCAGCGGAGTCTCCAATTTTTCGTTCTCAGCCGACACCATCTCCGGCCACAACTTCAAAATCTCTGATGCCAACTCCTCATGCCCAAAACGGGCTGTTAAGTGTAGGATTGTTTTTAAAGATTGTGGAAGTGTTTGTTTTGCTGTATCTTCAAAATGCTCTTCTTGAAGGATACTAAGAAAGGTTTTTACATCTCCTCTGAGAATGGTATCATAGAGGCGTCTGTCCATGTTTGGAGATAGGTGAGGGAGGGAATAATAGTTGGGGTACTAGAAATACGGGTTGTTGACGAGATAATAAATAATGAGGCAGGAGGCCTTGTTTTCCACAAACTGAAGGCGCCATGAAATTTCTCTATGATTGCTCGTAGACTTCTTTTTCTTCGTAAAACAATTTTTTATTTTTTTTATTTTTTTTTTTTGTGAATCTCTCTTGGTCTTACAATTAACAGTCAACGCTTTACAGACAAAGGGTTGTATACCTAACAGAATACATACATTACCACATTTCAGGTTAATTTGATGACTCAATTATACTACTGAGTTAACGTACATTCACACTAAGTTCAATTCTGGTGTTGGGTTACACCATACATTTAACACTGATCATCCACTTTTGGTACACAGTATGTATTTTATATTATTTACATTACACTGTCTTTACACCACTGATCAGCGACCATTTTAATGTTTTCCTCCTTTCCCATTTCCATTATTGCATATTCTTTCTCGCTATTCTAGTATGAATATCATGGTTTTAAAACCGTAGTTCCAATCGAAAATTGGTCTCTAATTTAGTCTACTAAATGGATAAAACTTGTTTTAACAATGAGATTAGATTAATCCAAGGTTAAATCAATGGGAACAATGTCGAACCACAGTTCAACTGTCAGGTTAGAGAATCGGTAGCTAAACCGGGTTAATAAAATGCAATTTCAAATGATGGCATACTGACATCAACATTTTTATTAATTATTATAGTTTTAAAATTTTATTTCGTAGCATGATGTCATCTGTCTGATCTGCCAGTTGCATAGATCGGACCATCCGACCTAAGGAATGGCCCGTTGACCGAGTTATGGCCCAGTCCGTGTATGAAAACATTGATGAATATATGATGACTGCATAAATTTTTGCACGTTTGCAATTTATAAATCAAGACAGATTGTGGGAAAGCTTAAGGTGATCCATTACTGTTGGAAGTCAATAATTTTTCTATATCTGTTTTTCGGAATAGAATCTGTTATATGTATAATTTGATATGACAGTCCTCTTTACTTCTCAGGCTAGGCTAGCTAGTTTTTAGTTCTTTTTTTGTTTTAATAAGCACTTTTCCCCTTGAATTTAATATGATTTTAACGAGAAACATCTGGAAACCGAGTAATAAGGTGATAAAAAAGTCAAAGAAGAGCAGCTGATATATGTGGATATCACGGAATTGGATTACGCCATTCATGACCTCATAAATTTTTGGCATCAGTAAAACAGTATAAACTTATTCCAAGCATCCATCTGTTTCGCACAATTATATGGTTAATAATAACACCACGCTGCCAAACAGCAGAAAGGGCACACCAACAACATGAACGGAATAGAGATAAATACGATAACAGAATAATAGTAAAACAAATTACAGATAATAAATAAAAAAATAAGATTAATTTAACCTAATTTATCCGATATAAATTACGTCTAGTTGAGTCAATATTATTGTAATATTTTCTCACCTCTCTTGTTTACAATGAATGAATTATCCTATAATTGTTATCGCATTCATAACAAAAAAAAATATATTTATATACTAGATTTAAAATGACAAAACCTAGTTTTATAAGAATTTTTATTCTTAAACCCAAACACAAACCCAATAAGGAATTAATGATTTAAACAAATCTTACCGCGGTTATACATGGAAAAGACCCAAACTGCCTAAAGGCTCGGGGGTGTTGCCCCCACGACCCCACCCCGCTCACCAGGCAGCGAGACCCCCGAATGCGTCTGCGTAACCCGTTAATACTGAAGTAATCAACAACTCTAACACAACCAAATGTCATGCATTCAGTTTAGACCCTAAAGACGCGGTGTTATATACAGTAGAACATTTCTATAGTGATATTCTATATAGGAATATCCTCCATGTAATTATAAAAAATTATGATCCCAATTTAGGCCAGTTATAAATAAGAATAAATTTCACATTGTAATAAATTATAATTTTTTATAAGTTTCGTCTTAAGAAACTTGCCTCTACATAGTAATAATTATGTGTATATTGCAAAAAATATATGCTATGTTATATTAAATGTTTAAGATAAAATACAATATTTATCTAAAGTTGTTTGGGACAATTATTTATGTTTTAGAGTTCTTATCACATCTTTTATCTTACGGGTACGTAATAAGTTGTCAGCATGGATGTCTTCTTGTTAAAACTATAATATTTCTAGCTCTTTTAAAACTATAATATTTCTAGCTCTCAAGAATGTTTAGAGCTTCTTGACATGAAACTTTTGGTATTTCCATACTATCATCAACAAGATTATCTCATTCCTCTTCTTGTCTAATTCTAGTAATGATTTATTTTTCAGTTAACGCATACATGACTTATTACTCATTTGGATGATTGAGAAATAAATTAATATTTATTTGATTAGTATAGTGAAATTGTCGAATCTGATCACTCAATTTAGTAATGACTCTTTGATGTTGATTTTCAAACTATCCTAATGTTACTAAAACAATGAATTGAAATCATAATACTACTAAGACACGAATTAAAAAATAAGAAATTAATGAATACAATAATTTTTTAAATCAAAATAATATTCTTGTAACTACACCTCTATTAAGTTATAACCTCCTCATAATAATAAATTTGGTTAGTCCCAATATTATGATTATAGAGAGGTTCTACTGTATATATGATTCATATTCCACAAGGATGAGGACCTTTCTTTTTCTTGGAAATGTTTGGTGGATTTCGTTTGTAATTTTATAAGTAGATGTGAATGCTTGGGGATTTTATTGAGACCCCAACAAAGTGGTTGTCTTTCTTAATCAAATGTAATTGCTGCATACAACCAGTCAAACCTAACAGCTAGCCCATTTTTATTACCTTTACAATTACTGGTGTCCCTACTTCCTACTACGCGCCCAAAGCCATATCAATTCTATACTTATTGCCATAACCACCGGCTTCAATGGCTCTCCCCCCTTGCTTTACAATATAATTGTTCCTCAGTCATATACAGGAACCCATAAGGTTTTTTCTCTAAACACAATTATTATAAGACAGCAGAGAAGTTGAATCCTTACCTAACAATAACTCCAGATACTTGCAATGCATTGGTGAAGAATGAAATAAAATTTATGCATGTGCATATATAAATGGCGGTCCCTTGTAGAATATATAGTTTGAGTATCATTACTAGATATTCATAAAGCTGGGTTCTTAGTTTGAGGCAAGATTCTAGGTACCATTTTCAACTTAATCAGTAGTAGGTTCATTGCTGTAGTGGCTTGGTTCATGATTCATGCCGCCATTTAAGAGGTGGAAGTGAAACATCATGGAAAGAGAGCCAACTAGCAAATGTTTAAGAGGTTCTCATTGCTCGTTAAGTAAGTGGTTATATTATGGGGTTTATCCTCAATTATTGTTGGACTCTCTCTGTGCCATTTACTTGAGCCCTCGTAAGATTGGGTAATATATAATTTGTAAGAACAAGTTTAATTGCTAAAACACATTCATAATTTATATTCATTGAAAACAAGATGAAAAATTTATGACATTAATATTGTTAAGTTTTCCCAAATTTGCAATTTGAAGTGTTTGTGCTCATCATAGATTCTGAAGTATGACGTGTATATAAGAAGTTAAGAGATGAAAAAAATATGGTGGGAAGTAGTATCATGGTCTGTGTAATACAACTAACTTATATTATGATATCTAGCTACTAATGAATTTATGCCAACCATAGCTTTCACTTGGCGTACTGTCCTTTAATGGCAAATAACAACAGCTCAATCACTTCTTAATTGCTCTACATCACAACTCGCCCCAACCGCATCAATGCCTTCTCAAACCTATAATTCTAGCTCTCTAATATATATATACATATCTCAATTCTCTACCCCCAATAGATCACTCTTCATATAATCCTCTCAACGCAGTTCCATTTTCTTTTATCTTTCACATCTCATTCATGCCATGGAATTTTATGGCAAGAAAACTCTCTTTAGCTTCATGGATGAAGAAAGAAACCCAATACAATCACCGACTAATCTTACCATCAAAACACATGAAGATATGTCTGACCAAGACCTCCAATTTAGCCCTCCAAGGGCTTCTAGCCCTCGTCACTCCACTGTTGTCACGCTATTGCCACCACCTAGCCCAGAATCGCCATGGACACTCTCTCCTCTCCAAACTCCATCTCCTTCTATCCTTTACACCTGCATTGCCTCCCTTCATCGCCATGAAGGCAATATCTACTCCATATCAGTCTCAAAAGGAATAGTCTTCACTGGCTCAGATAGTAAGCGTATTCGTGCATGGAGGCAGCCAGACTGCATGGAGCGCGGTTGCATCAAATCAAGTTCAGGTGAAATCCGAGCCATTTTAGCTCATGGTAATATGCTTTTCACCGCACATAGAGATTGCAAAATTCGAGTTTGGAGCTTCATAGCACCAGACACTACTTTTCGGACCAAAAAGATTTCAACCATGCCCAGGAGAAGCTCATTTCTTTCATTCCCAAGAACAAACAGTCAACAACATAAAGATTGTGTATCTTGCATGGCTTATTACCATGCGGAGGGGCTTTTGTATACGGGTTCGTATGACAGAACAGTTAAGGCTTGGAGGGTTTTGGATAAAAAATGTGTTGACTCATTTGTGGCGCATGAAAGCAATATAAATGGAGTAGTGGTGAACCAAGATGATGGATGTGTCTTCACTTGCTCGTCTGATGGGTCAGTCAAAATATGGAGGAGAGTATATAGAGAAAACTCTCATACACTCACCATGACATTGAAATTCCAACAATCACCGGTAAACGCCTTAGCCTTAAGCTCATCATTCAGCAATTGCTTTCTATATTCAGGTTCTTCTGATGGTACCATAAATTTTTGGGAGAAAGAAAAGATGTCAGGTAGGTTTAACCATGGTGGGTTCTTACAAGGCCATCGATTTGCTGTTTTCTGCTTAGTGGCTATAGAGACGTTGATATTTAGTGGCTCAGAGGATACGACCATTAGGGTGTGGAGAAGAGAAGAAGGAAGTTGTTTTCATGAGTGTTTGGCTGTGTTAGACGGGCATAGAGGGCCTGTGAGATGTTTGGCTGCTTGTTTGGAGATGACAAAAGTAGTGATGGGGTATTTGGTATATAGCGCAAGTTTGGATAAATCTTTTAAGGTATGGAGAGTTAAAGTTATGCCTGAAGAAAAAACGTGCTTAGATTATTCGGATCGTAATGACTCAAAGACGAAGATGGAGTATGAGATGAGTCCTGTGTTGTCTCCTTCATGGGTAGACAGGAAGATTAGAAGTAATTATTTTCAATAAAATTAATACATTAGCAGACATTTTTAATTTCTCTTTGTTAGATGTTGTAGAAACAAGTGCAAGTAATAGCCCAAATAAATCCATATGGTTTTGTTTGCTATACATAACAGTGAATACTGATGACTTCTGTACTGTGTTTTGGATATACGTATACGTTACACCACAATCCTAGATAGCGATGGAGTTTGCAATTAACCCTCAAACTTTTTATAGTAGATAATATCATGAATGTACAATTTAAGTTGGCATAACTTCCCAACTACTCACTGGGTAAGTGGGTTAGCCCTTAAATTTGTAAGGTGAGAATCTGCTGCAAACTTGAATTATCATTTACCCGGTTAGATCCAATCCAATTAAGTAAACTCACCAAGAAACTACTTCCTTCACATGGTCATCAGATTCTGGATGGTCTGGTACAGGTACAGGCCAAATTAATAAATGGTCTAACTTTACGTAATTAATAACCTTTTTGTTTTTTGTTTTGCTATCTTGGTTGGATATATGAAGCACACATCACATGATCACATAAAATTAATCCTCAAATTATTTATAGTACAAGGAAAGGAAACCACAGCTAAGAAACAGAAACAAACTTGGTACATTTAGCGAGAGAGATTGCTAATAACATGCATCAATACACGTCATAATTTAAAAAGTTGACTCCTCGTAGGGAATAGGAACATAGGATCTGATGATGAAGAAATTCTCATAGATAAACCCAGCAAGCCCACCTCCAATGAGGGGTCCAACCCAGTAAACCCAATGGTCGGTCCAGTCACCGCTGACCAAAGCAGGACCAAAGGAGCGGGCTGGGTTCATGGAGGCCCCTGAGAATGCTCCACCAGCTAGGATGTTGGCTCCCACTACAAACCCAGTCAGCGTTGGGCCCAGCCCATCAATAGATCCCTTCTTGGGGTCCACAATTGTTGCATATTCGGTGAATAACAAAGAGAATGTAAGGATGATCCCCCATATCACTCCCTGAAGGTAACCCACGCCACTCGCAAGTGAATGTACTGGTGTAGTCTGCACCAACATAAAGAAGAAAATGCCATTTGAAATTATGCATATAACGACAAAATATTATATAAAAAACCACGAGGTTCCAGGTCACTCTTTGCCTCTTTGGTACAATAATGTGGTTTAAATTGTTTCTTTTTAGATTATATATTTTTATAATCTGATAAAAAAAAACAACCTAATAATTAGTTGGGAGATAGAAAAGAAGAACATGATTTATAATATTCCAGTTCAAGGAATTTTTTTTTTTTTTTTTTTTATCCAATGATGTTCGGATTAGTTTACGTGCACCTCAACTACTCTTCCAGAGTCCTAAAGTTAACAGGTAGGTAAGTCTGTAGTGAATACTTCTGATTAGTAGTTATAGGGATTTAAACTCAAGACTTCTTGAGTAATACACCCAAGAATCTCAAACGAACCGTCAAACTATCTAAAAATAGTTATTTCAAGGTCAATTAACTATCGGATTAATCTTAATTTTCAGTTTTCACAAAGTTAATGTCAAACCTCTTTTTAGATAATAGTTGGACTTACCATTCCTCCAGTGAGATAATTGAGAAGAAAACATGCTGCTGAAGACGCTAGCAATTGGTCTATCCAATAAAGGAAGGATCGGAATAAAGTGATGTGACCGCCGGCAAAGAGGCCAAGAGTGACAGCAGGGTTAAGATGACCGCCGGATATGTGGCCAGCAGAGATCATGTGTCACAGCCACAGCAAACAACCCCACGAGGCCACTCCCATCTGAATACTTGTCTGTTCATCCTACCACGTTAAAACTCAACACTCACAGCTCACATGAAGAACCTTAAAAATCTTCTAAGTAATAGTCAAAATATATACACACACAACAACAACAAAGCCAATGATCCAGGAATGCAAGCAAGTATAGAAAAATATTAGTTTTAAGAAGATCAAAGTAAAAATGAAGATTTGCAAGTCTATATATAAATATACCAGCAGCCATGGAAGATCCAACCCCGGCAAACACAAAGAGGAAGGTTGTAATGAACTCAACAACTAGGGCTTTGATGCAGTCGGGCTGGGTGGCTTCACTGTGACTTCCTAAAGCGAGTTTCGCCATTAAGAATAATCACCGGAGAATGAGAGATTCTTTATACAGGGGATAAGCTAGCTAGGTAGCTATATGTTATGAATGCAACAAAGGAACATTGCGATGATATATAAGCATTTGTATGTAGTATTGACATTGTTTTACATGTTACCATGTTCAGTTTGAGATCCAAATTACGTGGATACCCTGTTTGCAGTTCACTTCATTTGGAATTTAATTTATAAATACAGTTGAACCAAAAATAATATTATTGCATTTTTCCCTTTAATACTCAATATTATCTTAAGCTTATATTTATATATATATATAAGCTCCGTACATAAATATAGCCATATACAATGAATATACAGTTATGCTTTTGTTGTCTAAAACGTCATTAATTAATTAATCATGTAATCTATTAATTAGTTATTTCCAAATTAATTTCTTATCAAAGTCATGTTGATTAATTCAAAATGATCTCATATAACCAACTCGTAATAGACAAATGCTTATTGGCTTATTTTAATTCCGAAAATTTAAAATTTAAAATATTACTTAAACACCAAAACTAATTAAAAAAAATCCCGACTATTGACTAATTATAAAATAAGAAAGTAAAATTTAACTAAATTAAAACTTCCTAAATCAACTAAACTCCTAATTAAAATAGAAAACTACTTGAATTCATAATATGAAACCCTAAATAAATAAGAAAATCAAATAAAGAAAGAGAAACAAAATTAAATCCTAATTTTAACACCATTTTCATTACATCATACTCTCCCCCTTAAAAATAAACTCATCCTCGAGTTTCACTCTAGTGGGTGATACTTGAGGTAGAGTCATAACTCCTCCTTTGGAGCAAATAAATATCCTTTGTCATTTATCTTCCTAGGAGAGTTGTCATGCACTGTAGTCTTCAAGTCGAAATTGAATGTCGTCATCCATGTTTCATCCTTTTGATCCTTGACTTGAATGTGTTCTTCTTACTCAAGCTTCTCCTTTAGGTCAGCTTGCTTTTGCTTTTGTTCAATCTTCTCAATTTGTAACATCTCATGATCTTCGTTGGCTTTAAGAATTTCTTTAGGAAGTGCTTTATGCTTCTTGTCTTCTTCCATAACCGGTGGGCATGTAGTTTCTGAAGAAGAATTCTTTTTTTAATTCTTAATTGTGATTCTACATCAAAGGCTAATTGAAGAACATCAAGCAATGTGCTGTCAGGTTGTAAATCAATTTGAGCTCGTATGTTTACATTCCCTTAAAGAATCTTAAAGCTACTCTATATGGATGTTCATTATAATCAAGGTGGAGTAACAACCGTCGATATTCAACAATATATTTTTGGACAGATCTCTAACCCTGATGGCATCTCTGATACTGCTGGAACAAGATCCACTCATAATCAAGAGGAAGAAAATCCCTTTGTCACAACTGTTTCATCCTGTACTAGGTTTTAACTAGTGCTTTCCCCTCGCAAAATCTTATGGATTGTAATCTCTTCCACCATGCAGAAGCTCCGCCCTTCAATCTACATGCAACAAGTCTCACCCTTATTCCTTCTGAAATCTCCATAAATTCAAAAAACTTGTCTATTTCCGCAATCCAATCTAGAAAGTCTTCAATATTTAAATTACCATTAAAGCAAGGAATATCTACCATTAATTTGAATTCGCTGGTATCTCTATCCCCACAGTCACTTCATCCATATCCAGCGTGCCTCCCAAAATCTGCAAAGTAATCATCTTTTTCGTCTGAATCTTCCATGTAGACTTGTTGTCTATGCTTGTTTGCAAAAACTAGTCTGCCAATAGGCTTTTCGGCCGTGAGCCACATCATCTCTAGTACATTGCCTCTCGTCATTCCGATTTATGTTCGCATCTTCGCTTAGAGCATCAAGTCGATCTGCAATTTCTTCAAAGCGTCATTCCAAACGCTGGAATCTAAGATCTATTCATTGCTCCAAAGCTATCAACACCATCCCTTGTGAGATCTCAGCTCCTTGATCTTTGCCATGAGAACCGCCGCCTCCTGTAACTTCACCACCTTCCGTTAGATCAGACAAATTTTGCCTGCTCTGATACCAATTGATGCAACGAGTTAGCGTAATAAAACAAGGCTAGCACTCGACTACACCTTTAGAACTGATAACAAGTCTCAATCACAGAAACTTAAACCTTAAAATCCGAAATAAAATATGAATAATCATTGAGTATTCTATCCCTTCAAAAGAAATGAATAATAAGTTTATATAAGGTGGTTACACCCAACCCTAACAAGACTCTAATTAAACAAGGAAATAAAATCCTACTTAAACACCAAAACTAATTAAAACGAGAAATCCCGACTGTTGACTAATTATAAAATAAGAAAGTAAAATTCAACTAAATTAAAACTTCTTAAATCAACTAAACTCCCAATTAAAATAGAAAACTACTTGAATTCCTAATATGAAACCCTAAATAAATAAGAAAATCAAATAAAGAAAGGGAAACAAAATTAAATCCTAATTTAACACTATTTTCACTACATCAAAACTCGTTAGTCGTTAGTGAAGACTGACGAAAGCGTCAGTCATCGACTCACAGTATCAATGAACTCGTTTTTGTTTTGGTGAAGACTGTGAAGAATGAAGATTGTGAAGAGTGAACTCATCACATGTCAATCATTGAAGCTTTTATTTTTGTCATTAAAGATCAAACTCGTCACTTGTCAGTTAAGCTTCAATGGGGAATGAAGATTGTGAAGCCTCCATTTTTGTCGTCAAAGAGTGAAGATGGCGAGTCAGTGATTGGTTGGAGATTATGGAGAATGGAGGGAGGCGGTGAGTTTGAGCATCAACTCAAAGAAGCTTCTGTTGTTATCGTTGAAGCCTCCGTTTTTGTCATTGGAGAGTGAAGACAGCGACTAGTTGGATCTTGGAGAT